GAACATAAAACAAAAGTCAAACATAATTGATGCAATGTCGCAACAAATTCCTTAAAATTTCGAAAAAATAAATTAACAAAACCTCTGAAATTAAATTGCTTGAACAAACATACCTTAATTTACCAAATTGCGAGAATAATGACTGAAAATCGCTGAAAAAGTCTTTCAATGTGCTCTAATAATAGAGATTTTTAGGGGTTTGAGGAGAGAGAAAACAACAATATGTATTTGTGGGAGGATAGAGAAAATTAGTATATAAACGTTAGATGGGATGTCATCAACTAGATAATAATTTACGGATAGGATAAATCGTTTTCAGTTTTCACCTTAAGATTAATTTTCACATGATCCATTCCCAATATATATATATATATATATATATATATTGAGATCTTATGAGAACCACCATGTATAATAAGAACTGAGAACTAATATGAACCGTCGATCAAGTCAATCGGATGGCTCATATTTCAGCCGCTTTTTTCAATTCATTAAGGGTGATTTCGTAATTTTGATTCTTTTAATGACTTTCGAACTCTGATCATATTCCTCAGAGCATCATTATTGGTGAACACAAAAAAATGGTTCATGGGTCACTATCACCATTTCTCTCTCATCCACATCAACCCAACAAACCATTTACAATATTCACTCTTAACAATGAACACTAAACAATGGTTCATCATCAATACTCCCTACCCCACCTTATTTTATTTTTGTAAATATAATTTTTTTTGTTTCATAATTATAATTTATTAACCCGATGTCAATGTAATTAATTGACGTATTTAATATTTTAATCGTGATTACTAATTAAGAAATTATCGCATTTTTTTATCAGCTTTTTAAAAAACTAATTCTTGTGATTAATATTTTTTAAACAACAACGCAGCTAATTTTAATTAACAAAAAAAAAGAGGTACAAATCATGATTACAGTTCTACAACTATAATCTAGTACATTTTATTTTAAAAAAAAAACAACTACACATCGTTTTGTAAGATGTCCTTAGGGATAACCATTTGTTGTAAACCTAGTTGCCTAAGTTTTCGTTGTTACCAAATTTATTCCATATATGTTCGACCAAGTCGTTTTTTAGCTGCAAATGAGTCTGTTGATCCTCAATCTCTGTTCTACGAGACAAGTATAAGCCGATATCCACAATACGATCAGTACGGTACTCGGTAGTGTCCTCATTAGCGTTGCCTCCAGCATTCATAAACTCATTGGTATTAACGTTATTTTGATACGTCTCTCGTTCATCTTCAACGATCATATTATGTATTATGATGCAGGCGAGCATGATATTGTGGAGTATGTCGGTATCCCACGCCAAAGACGGCTTTTTAATAATGGCAAAACGAGCTTGAAGGACCCCAAATGCGCGTTCAACGTCTTTCCTTGCAGCTTCCTGGTGTTTTGCGAATAAACGATCCTGACGAGTTTGTGGACTCGTAATGGATTTCACAAAAGAAGCCCATCTAGGGTAGATTCCATCAGTAAGATAATACCCATTCGTATAATGATGACCATTGACTACGAAGTTCACAGGAGGTGTTCGACCCTCTAAGACGTCTTCGAACACAGGGGATCGATGAAGCACATTAATATCGTTGCAGCTACCTGGCATCCCAAAGAACGAATGCCATATCCATAGATCTCTGTCCGCAACTGCCTTCAGTACGAGAGTTGCAACTCCTTCTCTTCCTTGATACTGCCCCTTCCATGCGTGTGGACAGTTCTTCCACTCCCAGTGCATACAATCAATGTTGCCTATCATGCCAGGAAATCCACGTTCTTCCCCAATACGTAGCAATATTTCCATATCTGCGATGTTTGGACGGCGTAGGTACTGATCACCGAACAGGTTGATGACACCTTCTGTAAACTTTTGGAGTGCCAATCGTGAAGTTGCCTCACTTATACGGACATACTCATCACAAGCGTCTGAAGCACACCCGTAAGCTAGTTGTCTAACGGCCGCAGTGCACTTTTGAAGTGGAGACAAACCAAGACGACCTGCCGCATCTCGCCTTTGTTGAAACCAGGGGTCATGTTGGGTCACTGCGTTGAGAAGGCGCTCAAACACATGTTTACGCATTCGAAACCGGCGCCGGAACAAGGAACTTGGATAAACTGGGACTTCCGCGAAATAGTCATTGTATAACCGTGCATGACCTTCTTCGCGTCCCCTATCCTTTCGGGGCTCAGTAGATTTGCGTCGGCGTTGCTGAGTGGCAGCTTGAATAATTGGTGGAATGTACTCATGCATTACGTGTTGTATCATAAGACACACTTCATTACGTTGTTGAACTCTAAGCTCCCTTCCCTCATCATCCGAGTTAGATGAAGATGAAGAGGAATCGGTTGAGCTTTCGTTTAAACTGTTTGAATTCATTTTGTACGTAAGAAATGTAAGATAGAGTGAGGTTTGCTAATAGTAACTGCAAACGATTTATGTGTTTGTGTGTAAATAAAATGAAAGAATGGTGTTTATTTATAGTGAACTATTTGTAATTCTTCTTCAGAAATAACTGAATATAAAGAGACAAAGATCACATGGGCTATGACAAACAATGAATTACAACCACACAGAAATTGAATGGAGAAGAAGGGTTTCACATGGGCTATGACCAACACTGGATTAGAACCACACAGAAATTGAATGGAGAAGAAGGGTTTCACATGGGCTAACAAAGGGGAAATTAAGATACTGACACAATTATATATAAAGAGACAAATTGATATAATTGAATAAACAGAATAAGATCACATGGGCTATGAAAATGGGAAAGTGGAAAAGATCCATTTTACTGATTAATTGATAAAGTACAAACATAAAGAAATGAGTACAAGAGGTTGAACTGGAATTGAAAACTTATCACTACTGAAAATGAAGAACAACAAAGGAATTGAACACACTTAACTACAATAAAAATAAAGGACACTAAGCATCATTATTGAAACGTTGAATATTGTTCCGAAGTATTACTATCATTTCGTCTTCCCACTGTTCTCGGTTTACTTTCTGTTCTAGACGAGATAGTTGCTCCCAGTTGATCCTATATTTCTCTAGCTCAATTTTCCGTTGTTTCCTTGCCTCCTCGCGCTCTTGTATTTCAAGTCTCTTCATTTCTGCTTCGTTTGACACATTCATCGAATCCCCAAGTAGCTGCAATCGGCTGTTGAATGTTTCTAATTCCTTAAATGCTTGACTTGATGGATCTTTACCCTTCAATCTCGACTTAGCCTTTTTAATACCTTCAGCACGAGCTACTCTCTCATCACCGACACCCACGCTGGTTGGTGTGGTAGGTGAGGAATTGTCACCCTCATCCCGTGTCCTCTTCCCACTACTTCCGCTCCCTACAGACTCATCTGTCAGTGGAGTTGAATGTGGACGTCCCACCGAAGGCTTGAATGTTTGTTGGTCCAAGAAAGACCGGAATTTGTCCCACTTCCTTAATTGGATCCATTCCTCGTAGAAGGTGAATCGTCCGAATGAGTTCTCATGGATTTTGTGGGCCTCTTGGATAACATCATCTTCGTTATAGCCACTTCCCTTTCGCTTCCGGGCCTTATCATAGCTTCCGCACCACTTTAACACGGCTTCAGAGATTCGCATCCACCTTCCCTTCAAACTACTAATAGTTCGTAGGGATATTTCATCTGCATTCGATTCCCTGGCAGCATCGTATGCGTCCAAGACTCTCTTCCAAAATACACCCTTCTTTTGATTTGTGCCGGTAATTATGTCGGTGCTGGTGTTCATGTAGCCGGATATAAGAGCCGCAGTTTCTGATCGCGACCAACCTCTATTGTTTGAACCACTAACACGAAATTCCGGAGTTGATTGGAGTGGTTGCTGTAACATTTGAGTGAAGTTTTGATGGGGAGAAGGAGTTTCATTTCCCTCACCATCATCCTCGCATTCTTCATTTGCCTCATCTTCTTCAGATAAGACATTGCTCGATTCCCAAATATTGGGATTCGGTTGTTGTGACGAAAAATAACCAGATGCAGCACCATATTCACCGTAACCCATTGGTATCATGGATGGATGTGGGAAATTTGAACTGCTTTGAGAAAAATTAAAATTTTGAGGGAAATTTGGTGGATTATTTGGGAAACTTGACTGGGGTATTTGAGGATAAACTCCAGAAAAATTATGGGGAATATTTGTGGGTGTTTGTGAAAATTTTGGGTGAATTGGAGGAAAATTGGCTTGATTCGGGATCATATTTTGACCCAAATTTTTTTTCTTCTTTCTATTTGTTTTGGGGTTGGTATTAGCATCCATAATTATAATTTATATTTGGAAAAAATAAAAATTTAATATAATAATAATAATAATAACAATAATAATAAAAATAATAATAACGATAATAATAATAATAATAATAACGATAATAATAATAATAATAATAATAATAATAATAATAATAATAACGATAATAATAATAATAATAACGATAATAATAATAATAATAATAATAATAATAATAATAACGATAATAATAAAAATAATAGTAACGATAATAATAATATTAATGATAATAATTAAAAATAATAATAACAATAATAATATTAATATTGGTATAAATAATAATAATATTGGTAATTATAGAGGGGATTTTTGAAGAGAAAAATATAGTAGAAAAAAATGAATTTTCAAAGTTGAAAAAAGTATATCAATATGGGTGTCTATTTATAGAGGGGAAAAAAATAAAGTCGTTGGTAATTTTTTTTTTTTGATTTGTATTTTGTAAAATATATCCGTTGTAAAATTACAACGGATATATTTAAAACAGTACACACGTGTCAAGTAGCGGCTGGGCCAAGTGGCAGCAAAACGACGTCGTTTTGCATGAATATCAGTCCAAAATATTGGTGGGGCCCACATCGAATTAATTCATGCAAGTGCTTGCTCCTGCAATCGAACCCATGACCACTCAACATGAACAATTAAAGAGTTTGACATTAAGCCACCACCTTATTTGTTCACTCATTGTGAACTATTAAAATGTTCACCCTTAAAGATGCTCTCATTTCTCCTTCTCTCTCTTAGTTTAACTTTCTCTCTCCTTCTGACATTTTCTCTCTCTTGTTCTTCCTCTATTACGACTGAATTTTCATGTGATTTTCTCTTATTTTTCCTCCTTCATCCATTATTCATTCAAAGGGTTTCTTCTTCCTAATCTCTCCACAGTACTCCAAGTTTTACCCTACTTTGTGGCAAATTTTTTTCCAGCGATTTACAACTGAGGTAAGTCAATAATTTTTTTTCAACTTTGATTATTGAATTTCTTGAGATCTCAATTGAGTTTACTGAATTTAATATATTCGAATTGAGGATTTTCTTAATTGGATTCCCGATTGAAAATAATAATTCTGAATCTTTTTTTATTTATTTATTTATATTTTAATATGTTCGATTGTGGTTTTCCTATTAAATTGATTGAATTAGGGTATTGTGTTAAAGTTTTAATTTATGATCCTTACGATCTAATGTAATATAACTAATTATTGTTTATTTTTTAAGGTAATATATGATGATCTTCTTACAATTTATTAGGGTTTCAATCTAGAGTTTTAATTAGTTGTTTTTATATTCAATTTCACGAAATAGTTATGGTAAAATTGAAATACGTATGGGTTTTAATTACTTTTTGTTAATTTCAGAGTTGTATGTTGATGTTATGTGATAACTAAATCCGAACACTTTTGAGGTTATGTAATTTACTTTTGAGCTTTTATTATATACTTTTGATGAGTTGATGGTAATAATTAAGTTTGGTATTTGGTTGTGTGGTGTTAATGGTTGCGTGGAGAGTTGCTGTGTGGGGTTGCTTATTGGTAGTAGCAGTAAGGTTATTGCGGCATCTTGGGCGTTGTGTTAGTGGTGTGGCTATTTGTGGTCAGGGGGTGTGTGTTGTGTCACTAACTGTTGCTGTGTAGGTTAGAGAGTTGAATAGGTTAGTAAAGTGGACATATTGTTTGATTGAGAATATGGTATAATTCTTATAATTGTACAAGTATATAGCTAACAATGGAACTTTGATTTACTGTTTATTTGAGTTGTGGATGATCAATTTTAAATTTAGGATAAAGAATATGAATCTAGCATGGGTAATGAAGTTGTTAACTACATGGTTGTAATCTGTACTAATCTGTTTTTATTAAAAGGTAAGGTTTTATAGGATGCACGAAAGGTGTTCGATGAAATTCCCCAGTGAAAACTGAAATTTGGTAATATGGTAGAGTGACAATTACTTCTGTTAATTTCGATGAGGTCGTATTATATATTAAGGCAATGTTAGGTTACAAAACATAGATTTTAGTAGGAAATTTATGTAGATGACCTCAGTTATTGGTTGGTGATTAAATGAGTATGATGTTTGATTGTTTCTTTTATCTAGACATTTTTTTATTGGGGAATGTATAATGTATGATCAGGTACCTCTAAAGACAAATTTTTGAGGTGAATTGCTCAATTGACGAATTGGGATTGAAACAATTGATCGATTGGCATTGAGACGAGCACTTGGTTGGTCTGATGGTGAGCTGATGCGATCAGATGCAAAGCCATGTTCAAGTTTGATGAGACAGACAATATTCTTTTGTTATAATTTTTTTACTTTTGCAACATTTTAATTAACTTTTGTGACATTTTTATTTACTTTTTCTATACTTTGAATATTTATACTAGCCTACTAGCTCAATTGGCAGAGCATTGTGCAAATGCGCAAAAGAAGTGAGTTCGATTCCCATGTAGGTTATTTATTAGTTAAAACTATAGCTATAATCACTTTTCTACCAAAATATAAAATCAACTTTTTACACTGATTTATTTACTTTAAATTTGAAAACCTTTACTTTAACTTCAACTCATATACTTTTCTCTTAATTGATTACTATTCATTTTTAGAAGATATAAAAGTAGATGACTCGGTTTCTATACTCATTCATCACTTTTAATAATTTCATTATACATATACTACCTCCGTTTTTTTTATGTGCAACTTTTGCCATTTTAGTCTGTTCACTATTATGTGCAACTTTCTTTTTTCATTCTATTTTGGGTAAACAAAAACCCTTTAAATTACTATGTTACCCTTAATTAAAAATTAAAATCTTTTTACTTTTACCCCTTATTACCCATAAATCCCCACTTAACTCAAATCACCTAAATTACCCTAACCTCATTACTCCCTCCATTTACTCCTCTCAACCGACACAATTCTCCATCTTCCCAACCACCTTATTAAACTAATCTAGAGAGTTCTTTAGAACCCTAGATCTGGTTCTTCGTCTTCTTTGTGTTCTTCGTCTTCTTTGTGTCCTTCGTCTTCCTCTGTCCCTCGCCTCCTTCCTCTCCATTTCACCTCATGACATCTCCCTTTCCCTCCCCCTTTCCAACGAAATCCAGAGTCCCAAATTTCCATGGCTGACCTAGATCCACTAGTTGACGCCTATATTGGCACCGACGACAACAGTGAGGCTATGTTTATCAAGTCCTTGATTAACGATTTAAACAGAGGTGATGATTTTCCTCGTCGCCTGTACACGCATGAAGATGGGCCAAGCTGCTGTTCTCCGACCACATTCAAGGCTTTGGGGGAAGTTTTGAAAAATATTGACAAGGCGAAGAAGAAGAACAAGGATGAGGGTGAAGGCGAGTCCCATGGCCAAAAAAAGCTTGATTTTGATGTCGTTTCTGTAGATTTGGAGTCCCAATGTGGGGAGGTCAGTGCTGCGCCCACCCCCAAGCCCCGATCTAAAGCTTCCAGGCCTCCGCCGAAGATTAGGCCACGTAGGAAGGCGGCGTTGGTGGCGCTGAGGCGTATGCGGGGTTTGCTGGACTCCAACTTCGTGGTGCTGTCCTCTGATGAGGAGGCTGAGCACTGACCCTAGTGTAACGATTTCTAACACTAATATTGTTAATTTTTTTTTAAAAAATGAGTCTTAATTGTTGGGTTGTTGGTCATGTTAAATCTGGGGGTTTAATTGTTTGTTCTATTGATCTATGGTGGATACTAGGGTTTGTTGAGGAAATTTCTGTCACCCTAGATACTAGGGTTTGTTGAGTGTTTTAATTAATGTTGTATCTATTGCATGTTCTGTTGGAATAATGTTGGATGTTTGATGTTGGCTTCTGGTTGATGTTGCCTGTGTGGAGTTCATTGTGTTGTTGTTGAATGACATGGAGTATGTTGGGTTATGGTTGATGTTGCCTGTGTGGAGTTGACTGTGATGTTGATTGGCATGAACTGTTTTGGCTTATTTTTTATGTTAGCTGTGTGTAATTGATTGTGTTTTTGTTGATTGCCATGGTCTATTTTGGCTTATGTTTGATGTTGGCTGTGTGGAGTTCATTGTGTGGTTTTTCCTTGGGATAGACTATGTTGGCTATGTGGACTTGATTGATGAATGATGAGGCCGGTATCTTGTGCTTGTTCATTGTTGCCTAGTCAGTCCCTTAAAAGGAGTCCCCTGTGATTAGCCTGTGTTTCCTGATTTGTATTGAGTTCCATAATTTGATATGCTATTTAGCTTACCCATATCTACATGATGAAGGGACTCCATTGAATTTCTATATGCACAAGTGAATTGCTCCATCAACATATCAACATGCATAATGCTGTTGTTGTTGAGGTACCCTTGTGCATATGTGTAGTATTCAACAATGACACTATAACCCTCTGATGGATTGAGTGCCCACATAAATTGTCTATCTTTGTCATTCATATTCCATTAAAAATGTGGGAACAAAAGACAATACCTTTGAGTAATGAACATAAAACATTACAAAAGACCACATCATAATCTAAAGACATTACAACAGACTGCCTTACTTGTTTGGATAATTGTAATGAACAAAATATACCTAACCACTTGATTCTTCAACAATTTTTTGAAAAAACAAATAAAGAAACTTACTAGGAGAAGTGGTTATGGGTGGCAATCCATGTGTTGTCTTGTTCTTGTAATGAGTCCCCTAATCTGCATCCACCTCCAAATCTTTTGTGACTTCTTCAGTGCCTTGATTTGCTGGCCTAAACATAGTGTTTAGGTACTCCACAGCCTCCAATACTACCTCTTTCTGAACCTCTACCAAATCTGGAAGATTGCCAAGTTTTTGTTCATATGTGGTATTTTGTACTTGTTACCACCTTCTGCCTTGAATATCTTAATCATGCATTTTTGCAATGTAACCCAGATGTACTTGTTCACATGGGGGTTGAATGTGTCATAAGACTGTATGACCTTTTCAACCAACTCCTCTAAGTCCCTAGGAAAAGACTGATATTGCAAAGATTGTATAGACCTAAAAAGCCCTAAGTCAAGGACATTCAAATCAGGTGACTGTGCTGGCTGAAAAACAAATTGAATGTTAAAGCCATTAGCTGTTGTTGATGCCAGAAACTGAACTTGGTGAGGCCTAGCATTGTCCCATTGGATGACCACATCCTTGGGCAGACCTTCAGGCCACTTTGACATGATTGCTGGAATGACCTTTGTTAGCAGCATCTCTCTGATTACTTCTTTGTTTATATTCTGGAGTGCCTTTGTTTCCATAGTCCCTCTTGCTCTTTTCTTGCTTGATTTTTGTGCTACTTGCTGGATATTGAATGGGAAGATGCCATACTTCCCATCATGTAACATTTCTCCATTTATGCCATATAATGACTTCCCTATAATTGCCATGAACATTGCCTTGAGCTTGAATCTTCTTGACTAAACTGCCATGTAAGGATCCTCCTCACTTGGCAATAGATAAAACCTCATTTTATCAGGGTTTAAGTAGAACCACTTCTCATCACAGTGTATGACATTCCTCATGTCAACAAATGTGGGGTCCTCATTCCCTCTAACTGGATTTATATGTGACAAAATCCATCTTAGTCTGACAACCTTATGGTCTGATGTCAGCAATGGTTTGTTGCAGCATGTGTGTGTTCTTAGCCTTCCTCTCTTCTTCAAATTGTGAACTGTACTAAGACTGATCTTCAATGCTCCTGCATAGCTCCTTTCTGTCTGCCTTATATGTAATGGGACTGACTGGAGGGTTTCATCAGAAATTTGCAATGGCTTTCTTCCTATTTTGCCAAATTTTTTAGTCCTGACATCAATCAAGTCCCCTATTGCCAGCTGCCTTTTTATGTCTGTGAAGATTCTTGTGATTGTTGATAATTGCTTCATGTGACCCCTTGGTAATGTTCCATTGTTCATTTTCACCGAAAGTGCATCAACAATTTTCCTTCTTTGGTGCAATGTTAGTTGCTTTCTGCATACACTATGAATCCCTTCATGAGCTTGCTGTTACATTTGTGTGTGTTCAAAATCAGTGTCTGTGTGTTGTTGCTGTTGTTGTTCTTCTTGGTTACCTTCCATGGTTTCATCTTCTGAATCGTACTCCCAAATGCCTGCATCCTGTATCTCTTCTTCTTCATCGAACCACAACTCTGCCATCTGTTCTTCATTTAGAATGTGTTCGATATTTAAAAAAAAAAAAAAACAGAATCACCATTTTCTGCCATGTCTGTTTTTTTTGCCAGCACAGGTTGATAGAGTGAGGGGCCTGCTGATTTTTTGGGTTGAAGATGAAGGCTAAACCTAGTTGTGCAGTAATGACAGTAGTGCAACCCTTTTTTTGTAAAGCTGTTAACAGATTAGGTAGTTTGTAATTAAGCTAACCGTAACTGTTAAGGTAGGAAGGTGTAATTTTTTGGGGAACAAACTCTGTTTTTGCTGGTGTGTGTAACCTAGCTTCAAACATTTATGGCTGTATTTAATGTCTGACAATGGAGGATGCTAAAATTCCCTCCTTAAATGCTGAATTCTGAAATTTAATGGTGGGTTGGCTGCTTATATAGCCCCCTAATTTTTTTGAAAACAATTGAGTTTGGTAGGTTTTTTTAAAAAATTGGGGGGAAACAAAAATTTCAACCCTAAAAAACCATCCTTCAAATTTTCGGTGGTTTTTTTTTTTGGGGGAAAATACCCCACTAGCATTTTCTGCCATAATTTCCCACCCAAATTAATTGTGGGTGGCCACACCTTCTCTCTCCTCCCACTTTAATTAAACCCACCTACTTTTCCTAAACTTTACCCTTTCTTTTGCTTCGTAAATCGTAAAAAGGCCCAAAGTTGCACATAAAAAAAAACGGAGGTAGTACAATAGAACGTTTTTTATTTTCTTTTTAATTTGCTTTTGGTACTGCTATATTATGATTCGCTTTTTGAGTTATTATGATTTACTTTTAATTTCTTTTTAAGTTATTTGGAGGTAGAAATAGAGCTGAGGTTGGGTCCCTAGTTGACCTTGGTGATCTGACCTTAAAATTAGATGATAAATTTTGTGAAGTTTTTCGGTTTAATGAAGAGACAGGGCCTCCAAAGCCAATGTATTGTCCGTATACCTCAAAGCTACTTTAATATGCTTTTTAGTTATTTTCATTTACTTTTTAGGTATTTTGAATGACTCTAGAGTGTATTATATTATACTTCCTTCATTTCTATTTAGTTGACGCGTTTAATTTAGACATACATATTAAGGAGATGAGTGAAGGTGAGAGAGAATGATAAAACAGGTGGGTACACTAGTAAATACAAGGTATAAACTTACCCAAAAAAGAAACGTGTCAACTAAAACTAAATTTCCTAAAAAGGAATATGTGTCAACTAAAAAAAACGGAGGTAAGTATTTAATATTAGAGACAACTTATGTAGGAATCGAACCTACACCTCTATGCATCTACATAGTGCTCTACCAATTGAGCTAATAGGTTTACATATTATATTATATTTAATTTACTTTTTAGTCATTTTTATTTACTTTTGAGATAATTTGAATTACTTTAGAGTGTTTTATATTTACTTTTAGAGAACCTATGTAGAATTGAACCTACACTTCTATGCGTGCGTCCGCACAGTGCTCTAGCACTTGAGCTAATAGGTTTACTTTAAAGTCTTTTATATTCACTTTAGATTTTTTAATTTACTTTTAGAACCCATTGATGTAGAAACCTACCTGTTCTAGCAATAGAAGAAGAGTTCCCTAGATCAGACCATTATCAAAATCAGGATTACACATTATACATCAAAGGAAACTAATGCTTAAAAGACCATTATCATTTTTGTATTATTGTTACCTAAGTTTCAAGTTTAATCTACTGGGCCATACAGAGTGCAATATCATGTTAAATACATCAAACCTCTTTGCAGGTGTGTAGTGAACAAAATGTTGTCTAACATTTTTGATCCCTTCAATTAGCCTTCTGTACATCTCTTCTAGAACCACTCTCAAAATATAAATTTTGAATTCTGCGTACTCACAGTACGTTGTGATGACTCAGCACCCTTGGGCTGTGTACACTAAGAAGAGGCACCGTAAACAACATTCAACAGCAGCAGACCAGGGCAAAACAAGGGAGACAGACCACCAACCAAGCAAAAGGCAAGAGGGCAATGCAGAGCTAGAAGACAAAGTGCCTTAAGGAAGCGCCAGGAGTCAACCTTAATATTTTGAAGTAAGAAATTAGAAGCAGAAAAGCAAAAGAACTAGAAGACAAACATCATTAAGAATTACTTGTAATCTGATTTGTATATATGTATAAAGAATAGGGTAGGAAGAGAAGGCGTGTCTTTTGATTAATCTGAACATTACAGTGAGATTGGCAGCCTCAAGTTGCTTAAAGATTGAAACCAAAAGTTATCCTTGCCTAGAGAGTGATAGCCTGAAGCTATCTTGTTTCTTGTATCGTGTTCGTTTGATGCCTTGACCCTTTGTTAGTGAAATTGAGCTTGCTTTCTGCCATACTCTTGTGTGTTTGGTTTTTTTTTTTTTTTTTTTTTTTTTTTTTTTTTTTTTTTTTTTTTGGGAAATTCTACATTACAACCCTCTACTTTTGCGTTTTCTACGCTGTGCCCCATCTTTTTAAAAGTTACACATTGTAACCCTCTGGTTTAATTAGTAACCGTACGGTGACCTCGCCGTTATCCCACCGCTAACGAATTCCGTTAGGTTGTTTTAATCATCGTCAGTAGAGCCCACTCTCCACTAATTAATATCTTTTTTATCGAATTACGTGATGGAAAATGTTCCGTTAATGGGTTTGGGGGCCGTTTTGGCCCTTATAAGACCAAATTGAGCTCAGATTTTGCAAAAAAAATTAACATAAATGTCTCGTTTTGCGTATTAAGAAATGTCTCGATTTACATGTAATTAATTTTTTTAGCCGCAGAAATTAAGCTCTTATTAAGATTTTGGGGACCGTTTTGGCCCTTATGGGTTATTTTTTTGCATTTACGTTTCTTAATACGCAAAACGAGGCATTTTTGTTATTTTTTTGCAAAATTTGAGCTCAATTTGGTTCCGTAAGGGGCCCAAAACGACCCCCAAAACTTTTAATGGAACATTTTCCATCACGTAAATAGATAAAAAAAATATTAATTAGTGGAGAGTGGGCTCCACTAACGGTGATTAAAACAACCTAACTGAATTTGTTGACGGTGGAATAACGGCAAGGTCACCGTATGGTTACTAATTAGAGCTGAGGGTTACAATGTGTAACTTTTAAAAAGATGGGGCACAACGTAAAAAACGCAAAAGTAGAGGGTTCTAATGTTGAATTTCCTTTTTTTTTTTTTTTTTAAGGAACTCTTGTGTGTTTTGTTATTGTTATTATTATTATTATTATTATTATTATTATTATTATTATTATTATTATTATTATTATTATTATTATTATTATTATTAAGTGCATACCATTGATTTAGGTGAATGAAAACATAAATAGATGTGTACCATCTTTAACATATGTTCATAGTAGAAAGATATAAGATAATAGTTTAACATCTTCAAATTATTAGAACCACATATCAAAATAGAAACATAATTAGATAAGAGTTTAATATTGTGGTGAATTAACCATCTACTTCCATATGATCTTCATTGTCATCATTTTCACTGTCGCTTTGATCTTCACTGTCATCACCTTCATTGTCGCTTTCCGATCGATTAGCCCTCCAAATTCGGCGTGCTATACGATGTCGCACTTTGGCCATACTATCTTTGCACTATTGTGCAAACATAGTTGAATTTGTTACTCCTATATTCGCATCATGTTGAATGATTGGTATGCCAAGTGTATGCATCCGAATAAAATTATGTAGTGTGCAAGTGGCTACAATGATTAACATTTGACTCTTTTGTGACACTTGTGGCATGTTATTTAATATCCTCCACATTTTTTTCGACTGTCCAAATGAACATTCCACCTTCATTCTTAGCGATGAATGTAGCTTATTAAAATGTTCTTTTAATCCTCTAGGTGGTATTGTTCTAAAATCAGGCATATGTACTCTTACTCCCCCGATATACGGCGTCATATATCCAAGAGTATTAAATATTAATTATTATTATTATTATTATTATTATTATTATTATTATTTATTATTAATTATTATTTACTGATATTATCATTATTATTTTTAATCCAGAGCACAACAGAGCAATTCTAAAGAATAGGGCCTTACTTGCTCTAAACTTAGCAATTTACACGTTATACATTTGGATTAATCAGTCTACAAATTCTTGTTAAAGCATGTTGAAGACCTGGAAATTACATATTTACCCTTACTTAAAAATTCTGATTTTCTTAACTTTACCCTTATCTTATTTTAATCACAATAACCTTTTTAATCTAATCTAAAATCATTAACCTAATTCTACCCACCCCATTTACTCATCTCCTAGTCTACCCACCACCCATTCATTTCTTTCTTCAACCTCTCTTCATCACCTTCACCTTCACCCTCTTCATCTCTTTCACCTTCACAGTCACGACCACCGCCCCTCCCACCACTATTCTTTCTCCTCCTTCACAGTCACGACCACCGCCCCTCCCACCACCATTCTCTCTCCTCCTTCACGACCACCGCCCCTCCCACCACCTTTCTCTCTCCTCCTTCATGACCACCTTCCATCCCACCACCGTCTTTCTCCTCCCTATGACCACGACCCTTAGCTCCCACCACCACGAACGATCCTCTTCATCTCTCTTGGACTTTATGAGTTTTGATTTTCTGGACTTTGATTTCAATTTTCTGGATTTTGATTTTCAAGGTTTTGATTTCAATTTTTGGGTTTTGATTTCGATTTTCTAAGTTTTGGTGTTCTGGGTTTTGTTTTCGATTGAAGGTGATGATGATGGTCTTGGTGGTGTGCGTGGTGGGGTGGTCTGGGTTAGAGGTGGGTCTTGGTGGCATGGGTGGTGGGGTGGTCTGAGTTAGAGGTGGGTCTAGGTGGTGGGGTGGGTCTGGGTTAGAGGTGGGTTTGGGTGGTGGGGTGGTTTGGGTTAGAGGTGGGTTTGGGTGGTGGGGTGGTCTGGGTGGTGTGGTGGTCTGGGTTAGAGGTAGGTCTAGGTGGTGCGGTGGTCTGGGTTAGAGGTGGGTCTGGGTGGTGGGGTGGTCTGGGTTGGAGGTGGTTAGGGCTGGTGGTGCTAGTGGTTTCGTGGGGTTGGTAGTGGTGGTGGTTTCGTGGGGTTGGTAGTGGTGGTGGTGAGGCGACGGTGGTGTTGGTTGGTCTTTGCCACTTAATTACATTCTCTCTCCAGCTTAATTTCATGCCACAAGTTACTTAACTTTCTCTAATCTTTGCCCCTTAACTTTTGCATTGGTTTTCGCAAACTCCCATTTTGTTGCAGATAATATTTAACGGAGGGAGTGTATTCCTTTTTTTGGTGCAATCTCTTGGTATATATTCTGAATCTATAGGTATTATTTTTGTAATTTCTTATGCCAAACAAGAACAAGTACATAATCCAACCGATACTTGTGCCTAAGAATTATTTGTTTTTTTTTTATGTTTTTTTTAGTTGTAAAAATAAAGAA